TCTCTCTCTCTCTCTCTCTCTCTCTCTCTCTCTCTCTCTCTCTCTCTCTCTCTCTCTCTCTCTCTCTCTCTCTCTTTGCTCACATAACAGATTAACAAAAATTAAATTACAATATGTCGCTATGAATAAGTTGGCACAATAAGTTCACTTACACCGAAATACTTTTGTAAATAACTTTTGAGTTTGATATCACCGCAATTTCAGTGAGTTCAGATATTGTTACTAGGCACATAAAAGTCCAATTCTCGTATTTATTTGCGACGGTGTAAACATTAAATTCGCCATAAAGTACATTTGGCGTTACCTTCGAATGCAAGAGAAATGTTAAAAAGTTCTGCTTTTTTTTTTAGGTGACTAACTCTGCATATACAACTTCATATTTATTACATATATTTCCTAGAAGCATTTTCAGAAAGAACGTATCGTATCGTAGGCTGTCATATATAATGCCTATTTACAATGGCGGATTTTGGTATTTTGAAATCCTTAGGCGACATTTGATATGATGATCTCGCTCCCTCTTTAAAAGTCCAAAGTACAATTTCTCTTTTCTTTCTTGGAAATGGAGATCGTGTTAGATACTGGTCCATTGATGTACGAGAGAAAAGCAAGTATATTGTCTTTTTATACATTTGTCCTACTTTTCATGAAAAAATAGTCACATAAATATTACGTGTATATCTCATATAAATATATAAACCTCTAAACGAAAAAACTTTAAACATATCAATAGAAATATGTATATAAATCACACATATATATACAGGGTGTCCCATATTTTATTTGCACACTTCTACAATATCTCCTTAATTTCCTCGACGTTTATCTCTATTAGAATTTTCAACTCCGACCAAGATCTAGAATACGTGCTATTAAAGTATTGCCCGGCAATTTTGGGACACTCTGTCAATAATCAAAAACCCTTTTAATACATTAATAGTAAAAAAGCAAATTAACTTGCCAAAAATGGAACCAAAATTTATATTATATTATATATATCTATTCTGAACGTTTCTTAGATTTCTTCAAAAACGTTCTAAGCCTATTATGTAGCATGAAGTCAGTTAAAACGTCAGTTAAAAGGTCAGTTAAAACGTCAAACATTACTAATAATTCTATTAGACGCTGAACACATTTCTATTCATAGCATGGAAAAATAATGCCCTCTGTAAAAAAAGAAATAACATCATTGAACACAACGAAATATTTGTTTATTATTGTTATTATTGTATTTAACTTATTAATTAATAAAACGAAATAAAAACATTTTATTTCTTTTGTGGCCTTGTAACAACAAAATTTCAGGCGCGCACTTGCATCTAATGCACAACCTGTCACTGATTACTGCTGACAAAATAGTAACATATTAATTATGACACACATCAGTATCTAGATACGATGCATTAAATCGAAAATTTATCTATCTGGTGGATATTATCGAGTTTATGTGCACTTTCCCTGTTGAATCAAATACAAATTTGAATGCACCGAAATTATGCAACATGGTCTCAATTTCCGCCAAATAAAACGAGCGCGGATCGTCAAGTGATTTTCTTCGACGTGCACAGTCATTCGAATCTCTAAAAACAGAAGCTCAGGCAAATAGATGGGACGACTCGAAATACGATCGGAATCTTGATCATAATCTATGAGATCGAATGAGATGAATAGATGATAAACGCGAAATATCTGCCGAGTCACGAACGGAACTGGAGAATAATACACGAGTGTGAGATATCCGAAAGTATTGGGTTAGGTAATGTCCGAAATTTTCTTCGAGACAAAAAGATTGGACGTGGTCTATGTGAGCCAACTGTTATTAACAGAACGTACTTTATTTTATCTATTACATCAAAACAGTTTAAAACGTTTCGGCCTCAACTTCGGACCCTCCTCATTTATATAAGGTAAATCAAGTCTTAATTAAAGTCGCAAGGTCTATAACAATTTCTTCTTTCTTCGAGATCAAATTGCAATTGCGACAACTTCCTCTTTAATATGTTCATAAAGTCAAATACGTGATAGCGAGCAGTGAGCGGGTGCCAGAAATTGTTTGTTAACGTACAGAATTTTCAATTCAAGTTCACTTTGAGATTTTAATTACGTAGTCCCTATACAACAAAATATATTTCTGAGACATTTCATGAATATTATTTTGTAAGATTGATATATTGCATTATATATTTACGGAAAGATTTACATCAACATTTCTACCTTGGTAGAAATTTCGTGCAATTTGTAAGCAGTTAATGAACAGTTATATTAACTCCTGCCCAGTAACTGACGAATAAAATTGTTGGGGTCCTGATCAAGACGTAATGTTTTGTCTGCAGTTACGGGGCACAAAAAATGAGCAGTATCTGAACTCTGAATATATAAAACTTAATAAAATTATGTTCAGTTCCTTTCCAGTTCTTGCGCAGTTTCGATGCATCTATAAGATGCAGTAATACTAGACAATAACTGGGCAGTTGCCTACGCAACTGTACATATTTTTACCAGGAAAACTGTTTCAGTTATCGAATAAAATTTTATCAAATTCTTGTCCATTTCCTACACAGTATTAATACAATTAATAAGAATGCAGTAATACTAGACAGTAACTGATTAGGTGTCTAGTAAAAGTGCACAGATTTCTACCAGGATTATAATTACAATGTTTCTGAAATATTTCTATAATGTTTGTAATATGTTGCAATATTTTTGCAATATTTAGCAATATTTTGTGCTGTAAGGGAGCGTACAACGTAACTCGAAACATCAATTGCAATGACGTCTCATTTCTATTTATATCAACCTATATCTGAAGCTACAAATGCTCGGACATTTGAGTGCTGAGAAACTTTTAAGATTCCGAGCAGTTTCAAGCCAGTCGAATTTCATCTCACACAAGCCTCAATATGATTTCGGATACCCGCACACGTTCCATTGAATAATATTATTAATAACGAAACGTAACTATATAAAACCATTTGCTAAGAATTACATAACAAACAGGACACAGATGTCTTAATACTACGTTACTTAACGCAAGCTTTTCTCTCGGCTCAGTTTGCTCTACGGCGATCTTTTTGCCTTCGTATGTTCGCAGAATACTCGACGAAGTCGCCCAGCCTAACACATATATGCTACGTTGATTCATCTAGATGCCTTTAATCTATTGATACTTCAGTTACGGGAAGTAACCGCTTACATGTTTTACAAGATCAGCCCATCGACAGCCGAGCATTCGGTCGTGCGGCCCGAAAATAACGATATAAATCAAGAAATTGAGCGTTATATACACGTATATAGCTTAGAGAGTGCTTAAGTCTCGATTGAAAAACTGCTTCTCGCGATCCCGCCGATTCTTTGCAATCCGTGGTCAAGCTGCAAACAACCGAACAATCGATCGTTCAAACATATTGCAATATGCGACGATATTTGTTAAAGTAAATCTTGAATCATTTATAATTTGGTACACGTATTTGTAGTTTTGTGCGTCCAATTCGAAATATAATTGTTTAAAAAGAATCATGCGTTACGTAAATCGTATTTAGACTATAATTGTGCAGAATACTCTGCAACGTCGATATCAAAATCACGCGTGAATATATAAGAACTTTGCCCTCAATGTAATGCCGGAACAAGAATGCCTAACAAAATTCATTTATCAAGTCTATAACTCAGATTTACACGGATTCGGCATTATAATCCTTTGCAAATCCGCTTGTAAAACCTACAATCCGCTTTATTTCGTATTAGCATTTCACGGCTGAATTTTCGATCAAGACACAATTTACAAGCTACTCTGAGTAGGAAATTGCAAACCTTGGAAGTGTCCGTCTGAATAAACAATATTTACTTGAATCTAAATAATTTTATGTCGTACCCCTGTTGTGTATCACAGTTTCGTTAATTAACATTGTTGTCACGTATATCTTTCAAGTCACTTATATTTTTCACAATCAATATCCAAATTGTAATCTGCTTATTTTGCTCTATATTGACGTCAATTTCTACAGCAAAAAACGATACCACAACAGAATTTACTAAAAAGCCCTTCCCACTTAATATTATCATACTTTTACAAATATTTACAGATATACACGCGCGTCATAAAGTGTATCATGCGCACATTAGACACATTTCAAAAGTATAGTCATTATGTCAAGATCTATATATATATATAATTGTTTATGTAATGTGCCAATATCTCTAATTTCTATATGCAGTCAGATATTGAGAATATTTTAACCCTCTCAGATATTGAGCACAAGTAGCTCACACGAGCAGTTTGCGTTCGTCATAATGTATTACGGAATTATTAACTGTTGTCACACTCACCAATGGAGAATCCATCGATCAACCGGCAACGAAAGATTCTTCAAGTCCAACAAGCGCCTCCTCGGCGCTGTCGATGTCACAGGTAGACTTCGGGACTCGCAGGTGCCGGTTGATGTTGCTGTTGTTGCTGCTGCTGCGGATGTGGCTGCTGGCTTTGCGTCCTGTGTTGCTGCTGCTGCTGCTGCTGCTGCGACGTCTGCTGCTGATGATGGTTCTGATTGTGATTGTGGTGGTGGCTCTGTTGCGATCTCAGCATCTCGTATCGCTGCTTGTAAAGATCGCACTCCTGCTGAAGCCGCGACAGCTCGACCTTCGTACGTTGCAGCTCGTTCTGCAGATTCCGATTGGTGGTTTCGAGATCGTGGCGTTGCTGCAGCCGCTTGCTGCGGCAGTTCTGTGCATAACCGCGATTCTTCAACGTCCGCCGCTTTTGCTTCAGCCTCACAACCTTTGCACATGACCAGGGTTCTCTTATGCAATCATAGTCCAACTTTATCCCTCTCCCGATTATTTACAGATGATGAAAAATAATCGAGAAAAAAATATATCTCCAACTTTTCTCCAATTTTGCAAACGCTAAGACGTAGATTTTGCTCGACAAATATACTTCGGAAGACCGTTAACAACGCTCGTAAATTTTCACATGAAATTTATTGTGACAAAAGACACGGCAGTAAATCTGTTCAGATGCGAAGAAAATTATATGAGATTAGTGATCGTGTCATAGTTGGAATCTACTTGCTTTTCTATCGTCTAATGCCGAAATTTGAGCACAGACGCGCGCAACGAAGTACTCCATACACAGTTTTATCAGAAATAGGGAAATAACACAAGATACATTTGAAAGGTCTCATCATTAAAGAGTATTATTTCTGCAGCACATTTCTGAGCGAGGCCACATTTGTCCCATTTTTTTGCACAGATCTCTTAATTGCATTAAATTTTCTTTCATTGCATCAATTTCATTTACTGATCAGAGAAGTGCGAAGTCGCGAGTATGTGATGTCAAAAAATAAAAGACTCGACTCACCTCCTCTCGCGGGCATCCATGAAGACGTTTGTTGAGCTCGCGCACCGAAAGCGACATCAGGAGCTCGTCGTTCATCAGCTCGTCCTGAGGATTCGAGCCGTTGCAATTGGAGTACAGGCCGTTGCTCGCACGATGGGCCGGACTGGGCCCACCGACGCCGCAAGAGCTCACTGAACACACACTCAAGGGCCTGCCCGGTTGCAATGACATGCCCTGCATGCTGTCTTCTATTCCTTGCATTACACCTCCGTTCCCGGGAATCATGCCACCTCCTGCGCCAGGACCGCCATAATAATCGAGATGACTCGACATCGTCAAGTAACCACCTGAAACATGTGTGCGCGATCACGGATAATTTAGATCGCTTTGAAAGCTCGATACGCCTACACCAAGAGTCCTAAACGCCTAACATTTAATTGAATGCGTTCTTCCAAGACATTCCTGAGAAAAAAATATCCTAATTTTGGGGGAGCAACCCCAAAATAATCTATATTTTGGGGTTGCTCGTCAACGGAAAGAAGAATAGCCAACTTTGAACAGCTCGATAAGACTTTTATTATCGCTGTTATATTATAACTAGAGCTACTTTCTAAGATTTAGAGTTATATATGTCTCCTGCCTCTCTCTTCTCCCATTAGAATTCCCAATCTGACATATGTATGTGCAAAAGGAAAACTAGGAAAATCAAAAGAATGAAATTCTCTAATAAATGAATTAGAACTTATACGACGCTCGGTGTACAAAACCGTGAGCGCGATCAAACGCAAGTCAGCAAACAAATCGACTGACCAGTCGAAAATTTCAGAAGAATGGTTTCTCACTGAGCTTCCCAACTGTCGGTCACACTCAAGTTTGACGATTGACGTGGTTGCGCCTGCCCCATCGGGGCAGGCGATCGACGTTACAGCTTTACTCACCCGCGTGTCTGGCAGGTCGCGGCAGTTGCTGTAACTCCTGGAAATGATGATGCGCCGACGTGGACGACCATGGCTCATGATGAGACTCCGGGGTTTGCTCCTGAGGGCAATGCGGCCTCAGGTCTAGCGGCTCCTGCCTCAACGACTGCGTCAACCAGCCCATGCCACCCGCGCTCACTCCTATCTCCTCCTGCACCAGCCCCGGCTGCTGCAACTGCAACAATATGCCGCCGCGGTCGCGGGCATCGCGCGGCTCTCGCAGCTCCCGGTCGCCGCGGTGCAGCTGCAACGGCGGCGGCGAGGCCGAGACCGGCGGCGTGTCCGGCGGCGTGCCCGGATGCGACAGCGTGGTGAGATGCGCCGCTGTGCCCGGCGGTGCCTTCACCAGGACGCCGTGTTGCACCTGAATGTGCGGCTGGCCGTACAGCGGATGCGGCTGCTCCAGCTCGTGCGCAGGCGGCGTCAGCGGCGCCAGAGTCAAAGCCTGCGGTTGCACCGGTCCCGAAAGCTGCACCACGCTACCGTTCACCATCACGGTCGGCGAACCCATTCGTACCTGCAACACGCAATTCACTCATGTCAATGAGGACTCGTTGACCCGATTCCCCGGAGGCTGATAACTCGAGGAAAAAGCTGAGCTTCTCGAAAGTGCACTTCGTTGCCGTGCTAGCAACACTTGTTGTTCGAAATATCGAGTCTCTTGTATCACTACGGCGTGCAAACAGAGCGCATCAGACTGAACAGAAGAGTCCTGTACCATTTTTGATATGGCATACGTTTATTGTCGAGATATTCGTTAGAGAAAATTGGCGAAGGAGTGTAAGTGATGACCCGTGGGACAAACTGAAGCCTGTAGGCGAAATGTAGGGCAGCCTGAAGAGATGCATCTTAGGATTGTTGACTATTTCCTAGCAGCGATAAATGTTGAAGAAAATGTAAGCAAGATCTGGATTGTTCTTAATAATCCCTCACTCGAAACATTAAATAGGTTTCCATCGATTTCGAATAACTAGATACCAAGATTCTTTGTGTCATGCGACTGTATTATATAATTAATGAAAATAAGAAATGATAATCTTAGTGCGGGCTTTCCTACAGATACGGCTATGTCAAATCGCTCCAATTGGCGTAAAGCCAATTTGAAAATCCTAAATTTAAAGACTGTATTTTATGGTAATGTCAAATGAGAAATTCGAATACCTGAGAATACGAGCCAGAATATGTCGAATACATTGAATATATTATAATTATTCAGAAAGAGTGGGTGTCATTATAAATCAAAATGTTTGTTACGTCCTTAAAATTCGCTCAATTACTTACGAAAGTCTCGATCATTCTCTTTTCTTTCTTTTCTCAAAAAAACAGCAGCGCGATACTGTCGAAACGCGACATAAACAAATATATTTTTATGTAAAAAGACTGTATAACAATTATTTAAACAACATCATAATCATGCGCCATCAAAAGTTACCATTATAAAGTAATACACTGAAAGAAAAATATAGTTGCTTTCGGCGTTAACTATACTTTTTGTGATTTCAACCAGAAAAATAATTAGAAATATCATCTTTCTAATAACATTTACTAAAACAATGGTTTTTCTAGCTATTTTTGTGTTTTAAAATCGCAAAAGGGTATAGTTGACGCCGAAAGCAACCATATATTTCTCAGTGTAGAATGGATGTAATCGAGAAGTTACAATGTTACATAGATCATTATATTCCGACTAAATTAAATGCGATCCTACATCAAATAACTATCTCGCATTTCCAGAAAACTAAAAGAGCCATCACCCGCTAGCGGCACTCGCAAAATTGCAATTTTTCAGCTAGTTTATATACGACAGATAACGGCGCACGTTTCACTCAAGCACAGCACGTACAGTGCGCACTGCGCACTGTGAATGATAACATAATATAGTACACAGCCACACGTATAATTTATGTTACATATTTTTTCACCCTTTTTCGGGACAACATTATTCAGTGATGAGGGAACTGCACAGTATGTCGCTGACGTGCCCAGCGAACACTTTTAAACTGCTTTTTACTGCTCTGCGTGTTAAAAATATTAAAAAAAACCTTTGTTTATATATATATATATTTTTTTTTTGTAAAAACAGATACCCAAAATATTTTTCCACATATATAGCAACACAAGTCGGCGAGTTCTTGAAATTATCACATGGATGGAGCTAAACGTTTCTACATATGACGAGGCTGGTAATCTTAACGCAGAGTGAGTCCAATTTCTCATATTTCAATGATTGTCATAAGATCAAAATCTGTTGAACTAACCAGAATTTATTTTATGTAATTTATCTACACACGTTTTATATTTGTGGAAAACAAATGAAATTTATTCAACAATAGTTGACACAAGAGAAGAGCTTTTATTTGTTATTTGAATTCATTTGAATTTGATTTTATTTGGCACTTGAATTTGTTCTACTGAAACAATCCGATACAAACGTCACTTCGTTTCGTTGAATCAAACCACGTTTTTTAATTGAGGAAACATATATTTTATACGTTTTGTCTTTCAAACTGATTTATTGTTTAAGCTAAACATTATGTTTGTTTAAAAATGCTTGATTAACTAATTTGTCATATATCGAATGTCGTTACGTTGTTTTCAGTGTTCACCACCATATATAGCATTACAATATTTTTTAAACATTATAAAGATACATTATAAACATACATCAAAGACATCGTCAGAGTTCACTATCAACAATTTCTCTTGAATCACTGAAGATTCATTAAAGCAACGTACGCCGTAGAGTTAGTAATTCTGTTTTTAAGTTAACATATATCAATTTTTTAATGTCCCGAGAAAACGAAGTTTTAATTATCTCCATACCTTAAACTTTTGCACATATAAAAACAAAAATCAAGAATGCTAAGCAAACAAATGGATTTTACAACTTAAACATTTTGCCTTATTCCATCTCTCTCTTTCTAAATTTGTATGAAAATCTAAAAAAAGTTCGAACATACATACTGTTTGAAACTTTTACACTTTTAGAAATTTTTGCATTTTTAATATTAGATTTTGATGAACTAATCGTAAATTTTTGTTAAAATAGAATCGACTATAAACTGTCTAAAAAATAAACTTAACAACTATACAACTTATAGACCATTTTCAAGAAACCCCTCTCTTTCAATCGCTTATGACTCAAAATCTAATTGCGTCTCAATATTTTTACAAAAAAATCAACTCAAAATGAGCTATGAGTAATGTACGAAACAAATGAATTTTATTTAGGATAAACTTTCATATATTGGTGTTCAACCAGATGAGAAAAAATTAATTACAAACATGTAAATACTAACATGTAAATTTAAGCGTTACATATATCGAATATTCCACTCCTATCTCATTATTTTGTAATTACAGACTCTCTTTGCAATTTAAGATCCATTTATTTTTTCACAAAAGTATCGAAAAACACATAATCCGTAGGCAATAAGCGCACTTGATATTTTCATTAGAAAAAATAATTCCCTCTAAATTAGTCAAGGAACTGTTCTTTGAAAAATTGCACGGTAAAAGTGGAGGGAGGCCACGTCGTACTTATATTTACACTTTTCAGAATACCCTCTCCGGCGCGTCTAGGCTCTTACCTCTCGCTTGACGTCGGCGGGATCCAGATGATCGAGGACAAACTCCTGCACATACTCCCTCGCCAAATGGTCCTCTGCTTCCATCTTAACCTCGTCGACCTCTACCTCCACCTCCTCTACCGTGTCCGTTGCGCCTGCATACGGAAGCGTCTCCTGATCGCCACCGCCGTCACCACCACTACCACCACCGTCGCCGCCACCGCCGCCGCCACCACCGCCTCCTCCGCCTCCGCCACCCGGACAACTCGTCACCGTCGTTTGTTGCGTTGTGACCACCTTCCCGAGCAAATATCTTGTCGAGGGGAAAGCTAGACGAACGGCGTGTCCGGATAACGATTCGCCTTGCCACGTGAGCGACAATCTCGTGATTCCGTGCTCCGATAAGATCCTCCGCGACCCTACGACAAACCGCGGCGAATAATGGAAGGCTGACTGCTAAAGGGAGATCCGGATGTGAGACGAAGGCACTGGAGCCAACGTACTTCGGCTCTTCATCAGTACATGCTAGCCTTGACGGCTGTCGCTTTGGCTTTTGCTCTTGGTCTTACTCCAGAACTTCTATGCAGCTATTTGCTATGGTTTCTTTTCAGCTTCGTTTCTCGGCCTTACTTCTGGTTCGGGTGTTACATTCTCGTTGTCAGCGAGAGATTGATTTAGATTCAATGATTGTCCAAGGAACACCCAGGTTGATAGTTGCGCGGATTTAGACGAACGGAACGTAAATAACTCGATGGAAGACACTTCTTCCGAGGGACGCAGAACAGAGGGATGTGACAACTTGCTTCTCTCAGGGCTCGAACGAAAGATTGTATATGAAAGCTCACACGTTTTTCTTAAAACGAAATCAAGAGAGGAAGACACTCTGCACGATGTCTTCAACGTGCATCCATTAATCTAAACGACACTTTCTACGTGCGAAACGCGAGGGGAAGAAGAACAGCGCAATCAGGGCGGTTGGAGGGTGGCCCATGAATACATCTACTTTACGATCACCATCCGACACTGGCACGTTGATCTCTTCACGGTAATCCCGTGCACTATCGGTTGCCAATATACACTTGCGCGGTCACTGACACATGGACACTCTTCCCATCACTCTGTCCTTCCCCGCAGTTATTTGTGCATGATTGGACCCTGTTTGTTTCCCTTAACTTCAATGACAAAATCAAGGAATAATGATGGTCTCAAAATTAATGAGACGCATCGTAGATCAAACGTCACTAACTTCGCCCTTCACCCTTCGAATCAATTCGCGGATCGAACGCAGTCCCGTCGATCACGCACGCAGGCACCACAATGTTTTCTTTTTCCTGGACCTCGCGTCCTCAACGAAACCGGCGGAGGTACGATCGGCAGACGAAAGAGAGAAATAGAAAGAAAAGATGAGACAGAGAGAAGAGGGGGAGGGAGAAAGTGAGAGAGAGAGAGAGAGAGAGAGAAAAGAGAAAACCAGCGCGCTTAAGAGAAGGAGAAAAAGAGATCGCGTGTCGGACAGCAGTAGATACGCCGCCTGAGTGGTGACTGGTCGGCCGTATGCCGAGAGTGAGCTTTCGTGCTTTCGCGCGCAGGACAGTTACATGACGTCACACATGGGAGGCGTGGCCGTGAGCTATTTGATCTCTCCGACTCGCACGGCAATTGGCGCATCCCGCATCGCGCCGCCATTTGTACACTCCTCCCACCAGCCCCCCTCCTCCTCCACCCTCTACACAATAACTACCCGGCGTAATACTCCCCCTCTCCGCAACGCTTCGGATCCGGTCACTCGAGGTACCACACACATTAATTTCTAAAGTGATTATTATAATTTTTCAACGGAGGGCGCGATTGCGCGAATTCTAGTCTCTCACCCGCCTCTGTCCCCCTCCCCCTTCTCGCCCCGCTATATACGTGTTCCGCCTGTGTTACTGTTCCGGCTTTAGCAACCTTCCCTCCTTTGCCTCCTACGGGACACCGTATCGCGGTTTTTCCCTTCTTCCCTTGTAGATTTCAATTTACCGGCGGTCGGTACCAGTGACCTTTTATCTGGCAACCGCGATCTCGATTTGGACAGGCCACGATTTTCCGCGCAGGCCTGGGCTGAAGGGAGGTCGGAGGCGGTTCACAGAATGTCACGTCTATGATGCGACATCCGTGCCAGGGTGCCGGAGGAGGAGGTGGTGGAGGAGGAGGGAGAGCAAAGCGCAAGGGAGATAAATGGGGACCGGAACGGGTGTCAGATTACTGTCGCGTCCAGTTAACGAGATATCGCTTTGCGTGTCTGAGATTCTACACGCTTGGAAGAAAGCATCCTTGATATACCGTAGATTTAGAGTATAAGCCAGACACAAACACCAACACACTGCGCAATCAAAAACTGTATAAACAATTCGAAGTAGGAACGTTCAAGTTTCAAATTCCAACGATTAGTACATTCACAGATGAAACAGACCTTTCTTTTGTAATGTGAATGTTAAAATAAGCGATAATTAAATACCCAATTTTTCTGCAGTAAACTTTTTAATAATCATATCGCTTTTGTGTGTGCGACACTCCGAAATATAATATAATTCACTTTTCTTTTTTTTTTCTAGACATACATACCGAATGTTCAGACATAAATATGACAACACTTGTGTGCAAGTAAAGCTCATCAAACTGAACAGAAAAGTTCTCTGCCAATTTGCAAATAACTACGGTAATTATTGGCATATTAATGAAGAAATATTGGCCAATCAACACGCGAGGCGGTGACACGACCTCTCTGTAGGGCAGTCCCTGAAGAGACATTCTTGAACTTGTTTACTGTTTCCAAGCAACAATAGATCTCAGATGACAGCGAAAGGCGGAGTAACGCTGTGAGCAGTAAGCGGCGCGGTCACATTACTTTTACTGCCGCACACTTGTACTGTTAGGAAATTAAAGAAAATATCTGAAACATGTATCTTCTAGCTCTGCAGCAGAGCTCGCCCCGCTGTATCGCATTGATTCACCAAGTTCCTTTAATTAACATCTCAAAAATTATCATTGTTGTTTGCGAATTAGTAGATGACTTCTTCAATGAATTCTACCTGCACACGAGTGTTACTACTCTTTAGACCGGACACTCTACATGCTCCTTTATAAGTTTTCTACAATAAGCAGTAAATAATGGATCGAAAGTCAGAGACGAGTTGTAAGCGAATCACTATGTGTATCATAAGGCAATAACAAGTCAGTCAAGATCAATGGCTGCATGGAGATGACCAAATTCCATTTCTTATCTTCTCAAAAGTTATGATCACCTTATGACTGATCAATCCAAGAACAATATGTGTCCACCATCTTTATCGAGAGAACTGACTAGAGTTAACTGGAAACTTCTCTTCCTTCCGATTAGCTAAAATATCACGACGCAACGACCTACTACGACTTATTGTAGATGCAACTTTCCTGAGATTAATAGCTTATAATACTGACTTATCACCAAGTACAATACGAATGATGATTAACAGCTTACTGCAGACCTTAAAGATCTCATTGCTTCTTTATTTATTATTATTATCTTCAATTTCTGGTATTGCAGCCTATAGTTAAGGAAAACTCTGTAAGACTTCTTATATGAGGCTAAGAAGTATACATAGCATATATTTGGTTAACTTTTCCTTTTGAGTGACGCGACTCTAATTTGGACGGGCTGCGAAATAGTATTACTCTTCGATCGGCGAAGAAGCTTAAGCTCCGTGAGAGTTTATGCGAAACGACGGCGAATCACGAACCCGCATCTAAATAGGTTCCCGCACACGTCTACCAATCTACCCTCCTATTTAGCAGTCCATATTACATTCCGTACTTACTTCTGAAATGTAATAACTTTAAAATATTACATGAATATCAAATTTTCTTCCTACTCACGGAAGACTCTATTTCCTGGCACAATATTACGTGTGAAATTTAAAAGAATGAAAATATTTCAACGGAGGACATTTTGTATTTTTCTCTATATTTAACTTATAAATAACAAGTGACAAAAGCAATACTTTTACCAACAGATTAAACTAAAATGAATCATGGAAAATGATAACATCGGGTTTAAAGTCGCCAACGAAGTCGCCAACGACAGCCAACGAAGTCGCACAAAAGATAGTCAGTATTAGTTGTAAACAATCGAATGCATGAAATATGTTAGCTCAATTAATCAAATGAACTACTAGAATACAAATTCCGTTATACCTTTTGGAATATTGATTATATGTGTGCAAAGATTTGTATCATCAACCCAGTTCTAACTTTGCCTAGTTATTAAAGAAAGGATTTAACACTTCATAGGTAAAATTCATCGTCAATTACGATTGATTGCTGTAATGTACGTGTACCTTGAAAAACCAAAAGACAAAATCAACTGGACTGTAAAGATTGATATCAGCTGATCTGGAAAAATCAATAGCAAGTAGCACATAGGTACGCGATATTCACGTATAGTTCGTCTGAATGTGCGAAATATACACGGTGACATTTTTCTCGGCAAACTTGAATGACTTATAAAACTAAAGTTTACAGTAAAAATTATTGTAACCTTGACATTTTATCATAAGAAATGAATAAAAAGGAATGATTTGAAGAAAAAAATCTAAGCAAAAGCTATTTGCTTTTTAAAGCAGATTACGAACGTAATTGATTTTACACGCGTAGGTTTTCATTTGAAATTTAAAAATTACTCTCTGTGTTTTGCCCTCCAGATCTGAGAACAAAACGATTTAAATTGGTCGCGTAATTTCCTGACTTTTTATTGTAATTAAATTACAATAAAGAAAAATAACTGACGTTTTGAGCTTTATCCGTAATTGAAGCCAGATATTAAGCCAGATATTAAGATAAAATGGTGAAGCTTTGACAAAACAAGACCTCGTTAGTTTAAACGGTGAAAGCCGTCGATCATCGTCGAACGTACTCGACGAGCGAAAACTCGCAATAGTGACGAACGAGTAACGATAGGTTTGGCCATTTTGTTGAGCTCGAGGAATTTGTCGACGCTGCAGCTCGACATTCTTCGCCCATCGCTTCCTTTCGGTGTTCTGCCTTCGCCATTCGTTCACGCGCTCGATATAATCGCGCTACTGAATTTCTCCGGATAACGAGTGTTGAAAATTTTCCACTCGCCACAAGAGAACATCAAGGCAGGAAGACATCAAGTTGCACAGAAACATGACACTCGTAGACGTTTAAAATTAACAATATGAGCTTATAATTCGACAATAATTAAATAAACAAAATTACACAATTTGGAGGAAATTACTATCAATTAAAATTTCTCATCATTATTTTCCAATGTCAGGAGTTCAAAAGACTAGATCTAGTTCGGCGTTGCTTGGCGTTGCGCGCAACAAACTTTACCGCAAGATTTACGATGGCAATTGAATCCGGGAAAGCCAAACAGGAAAAAGTTCCAACTTTCCTCTAGCCGACTGTGTCGCGTCGAGCTAGTCTGTTGATTTTAACTCCGGTCTCTCTACTATTTATCCATCTCTGGACGCGGACATCTTGCAAGTCAAGCTTCTTCCAAATTAGCAATACTTACCTAAAAGTAGTCCAACGAAAACATTAGAAATATTATTATAGGAGAAGAGGATTAGGATTAAACTAAGATTAAGAATAAAAATTACTTAGCAAAAGAGAGTGAAGAATTATTTATTTATGGTTCGCACATTAAAATAATAAATAGAACAATATTACTATATATTAGAGCAACACTATGTTCGTGCGAATTAATAGACAATGCAATTAGCATGATGATGCGACGCGAAATGAAGTAGCCTTGCTCGGTATAATCAGTATACTGCTGCTCTCTCACCATCAGGCCCTTCCATTAATTACAATGCGGCCGCGTGCGTACACCCTTGTTACGATTCGTTATGCCCATTGAAGCGCATAATTGAAATTGCTAACAGTATAGTTTCCTTGACAGAAAAACTAGTCGTAGTTCCTGGTGCGGTAAGCCTCAGCTGTAACAATCTCAATTTTGGGAACATAGGCTGATACTTTAGAAATTAAAACTCATAGATTCTATTTATTTTTATGATTTTAACACTTTGTTTATGTACTTTAAATTTTTTATATATTTTTTCTTCTTAAAGTAAAAAAATATTTTGTTAAAGATATATACGTAGTTAATTATTAGTCAATAATTAAATAATTAATTAGAATTTTTATTTTATTTGTGGATCTTTCTCTCTCCCCTCCACCCCTCTCTCTCTCTCTCTCTCTCTCTCTGTCAATATCTAAAGTTTTATAAGGATCATTCGAGTGACCTAAGAGCTACTGTTGCTAAAATCTCAGAAAAAAAATCTAAAAAATATCTCTTTAATTTTTTTATATAATAATGTATTTTCTTTTACATAATTAAATTCTTTCCATTAATCTACGTTTAAAGATATTGAAATATATTTCACATATTTCACTTCATTATTTTATTTATTATTTTATTCAAAATAATGAATGGACTGAACTTCAAAGGTTCAGGACCAAAACTCTAAATATTATATAAGGTTCCATCAAACATTTTTTAGTACTAAAATAC